TTGATTTAAGATAGTTTTTTAAATACTTTTATGTTGTATCCAGACAGTATTCAATAATTGAGTTCAGGGTTTTTCAGGAAACAATCATAATATATTAAGTCACAGTAGTTTCAATTTTTATTTCCTGTTAACGATTTCTATGTTTACACATGCATTTTATTTAGATGATGGGACAATTTTGCTGGATTGAACACTGAAACAGCAAGATTCAAACTGGGGAATGGGTAGCAGTAAACAGCAGCTTACACATGTAGAAGTAAATTGCAACATGGAAATCTGATTCCCTTTATCTTCTTGAAGGAGAAAAAGTCTTCATGCTTTTATTTTTTTAAATTTTGATTGCTGTAGTAAGTTTGCATTCCCCAGGTACAATTCAAGCAGACCATCTTCTTTTACTTCAGAATACTCTTGTTGTGAACACCAGAGAGAAGACATAGGGAAGTCAGCCAGCCAGCCAATTATAGTTCTATTGACAAAAGTAGGGTTGCTAGTTTTCGTTGGCTGTATTCCTGGATGTTTCATCTTATGATGTGACATAATGACTTATTAATTAAATATTATTCTTTAATTCCAGAACAGTCCTGGAGAGATGGCAATCCTAAACTAAAAGTTAAGTCCTTTCCTATCCCACAGTACATCAAGTGGTACTTACTTTGACTAGGTGTCCTTGAACTAAGCACTGAAGAAGTTACAAGATTCCTGGTCTCACGCCCCTATACTGCAACTCAACTTTTTGGTGGCTCATGTCCATTACTTTCTAACTCTTGATGGAGTTGATCAGTATTCTTCACAGTCTGGGTCTAAGTCAATTTTCTTGACCCCTGCTTCATTTATGGCTTTTCAGGTGAACAAAGCTACCCTGAGGACTAGGTTTGAGTCAGCTAGGAAGAGGTGTAGTGAGGGTGTTATGTATCCGGGGGCAAAGGAAAAATTGGCACCCACCCAAGCTGCTGCCATGTGGCGGCGCCCCAAACCTGGGGGGGGAGGGAGAAGAGCTTCTACCACATCTTCCCCAACCCCCTCCAGTTTGGGGCCAGGCCCTGCATGCGCTAACCTGCTGGTGGAGATGGAGGAGGATAAGGCTGGGGGCAGAGAGGCAGGGAGGCTCAAGACAATGGTGGCGGGCGGAGAAGGAGCAGGCAAGCTGAGGGATGACAGGGCAGTGGAGGGGGACTAAATTGGTGCTTCCATAGCACGGCACCCGGGGGCAACTGCCCTCCTCCCCCCTCACTATGCCACTGGTCCCCCCTCCTGCAGATCTATCATCTTATGCATGTGCAAGATCTGAGAGAACCATTCCATGCATCTGCAGTTAGTGTCCGTGGTGCCTGCTTCTGGGGAGAGGGGGGGAAGGAGGCTCTCTCACTGCTGTCACATTCACCTTCGAAGAGGGGGCTTCCCAAAGCAGGCCCTTGCTGCTGACCCTCAAGGCATCCACAGGTCCAGTCTCGTTTCACTGGGCCCACAGGTCTTGGATCTGGCTTCCATCCCCTCTCCAACCTTTGTAACTGTCCAGAGGTACTTGCCTTCCATCTTATCCATTCCCATCTCATTCACGCTACAGGGATAGTCTCTACCTTACTTGTTTTAAGGACTATTCTACCAAGACGTAATACAAAGTTTTCATGTAAAAGGACTCAATACAAAGCTAAAAACTTCAATGAGAGAATGATTAATACACAGAAGTATCTACAGCTGCTGCAAGGAGACACCCCTGCCTGCCTTCACACCCGCCCCCCCCTTTCAATGTGATAGCTGAAGCCCCCCCATCCCCACCCCACAGTTGTTCCCTACATTAGCTAGATTACAGTGAGCCGGGTTATGCGGGCCTGTGCTGCAGTCATGTCTTCGCTACCCATGTAGACAGCCCCTGAACCACTGGAAATTGAGCTTCTAGTCCGGCCTGGTGTGTGACCTCAGGCATGTCATGGCCCCCTCTGTGCCTCAGTTTCTCCAGCTGTAAAATGGGGACAATGCTGGCCTCCTTGGGAAAGCCCTCTGAGCGCTACTAATGGGCGGAGTGAGGGCTGGCAAAGATTAGCCTTGCCTTGGTCACGTGGGCTTGCTACCACTCCAGCAGGCGGATGGTGGGGTCAGTTGCTTGACAGCACTTTGTGTCCATATGAAATCGAGTGGGATGGTCCAGTGACAGGCAGGTGAGTGGCTGACAGTCAGTGGGCAGGGAACCGGGTGCCAGATACCAGGTCACTGGCAAATTGGGGAAGGGGGCATATGGGGATGAGGGCTCCCACGCCTCAACTCTAAGCACTTGCGGGCAGAGTTCACAAATTACAAAGTTCTCGCTTCCCCGCCAGACAAGCCATCACTTTACTCCGGGTCCTTAACATGTGCTGTCCCTTGCCTTGGCTGGGCACTACTCCGGGATGGGCCTGGCTCTCCTAGCCAGGAATCACAGAAGAGCCCAAAAAGTGGGGTTGGCACCCAGACCTGTGATCCCCCCCCACCCTGCTGTTCTTGCCCCAAGGCCCCACCCCACTTCCCTGGCACACTTCCCTGGGCCTCCCCACTAGGGCCTGTACATTGTCCCTCTATGCCTTTCCTCTCATACCCCTCCCTTCACTCCTTCCATTCCTCCCCTGCAGAGACGATAAACCACACTTTTTGTTTTGGAAAATATAAACATTTTTTATTTGGGGTAGAAGTAACTGGGGAGGGATTGGGGAAAGAACATGGGAGAGAGAAGGAGAGAGGCTCAGGGCTGAAGCTGGGAGTGGTGCTCAAATCTGGTGGTCCCACCGCCTCAGATGTGGGGACCTCGGCAACCACAGGGTGGAGGGGGGGAAGGTTAGGAGGAGAAGTGCGAGGGACAGGAGGAGAAGTACGAGTGACAGGAGTGGGAGCAGAAGCAGGAGCTCTGGTGCTGAGTGCTTGTACAGCCGTGCAGATGGCGTGGCCCAGCTATCGCATCTCCCGCCAGGTCTCTTGCTACAGCTGGATATCCTCCTCCAGTCTCCTGGGAGACATTCAGGGTGTGGAATATTGTCTCTATGGTGAACATGGTAGTGATGCTGGCCTCGTCCAGCTCCTCCTCTTTTCCCTTCTTCTCCAGGCCTCTGCCCCGGGGAGGATGACGGCAGGCATCTCCAACCCTAAGTTTACTACCACGGGGGATTGACCTGCCCCCTAGGATGTGGTGCAAAACAGAGCAGTAGGGGCAGGTGTGGGGGTCAGCCCCAGAGTGGGACCTGTGCTCCTTGGCCTTCGCATAGGCCTGGCAGAGCTCCTTTACCTTCATCCACACCTGCTCCTGGGTATGGATGTGGCCCTTCATGCCCAGGCTTTTGGCCATGTGGCCTCAGATATCTGCATTCTTGCATCTGGTGCAGAGATCCTGGAGGTTTGCCACCTCACCCCAGACCTCAATGAGGGCCAGGATCTCCGCACCAGACCAGGCAGGAGTGTGCCTCTTATGTCACCGGGCAGAGTCCTGGGAGCTGGCTGACTACTGGAAGCAGTGGAAGGCTTGGTGGGAGCAACAGAGTTGCTCATTTTGTCCAAATGCTAAGCAGTGGCAGCTGCTGGGTGGCTCAGGGCTGTCAAGTCCTGCTTCCTGCCACAAGCCTTTTCACTTCTGTCTGCAGTTTTAAGGGCTGTAGGGGAAGGGGAACTATAGAGTTGTGATGAGTGTCCACAGAGCAGCCAGTAGGGCACCTGTGGGATTTCCTGGAGGCCCCTTATTTTGAAATAACTCCAGCCACTATTCTATAGCCACTATAGCTATTTCAGAACACTGTGTGTAGACAGGGAGGCTGGAGTTATTTTGAACTAGGCGTTATTGCTCGTGGAATGAGGTTTACAGAAACTGGAATAAGCTGTCCATTATTTCAAATTTATTTCGAAATAACAAGATTGCTGTGTAGAGGATCACAAAGTTATTCTCGAATTACGTTATTCCAAAATAACGCTGCTGTGTAGATGTACCCTTAGAGAGCAATACACACAATCAAAATAGCAAGTATGAAAACCTTTTCAAAATGGTTAAATATTGTTGTTCTATAATATGGTACCGCCTTCATGCTATTAACTGCACAACTGTTATAAAACATTGGTTAACTGAATCTACAAAACATTTCTGTGATAAGTCAAATTTCTTTGTACTAGTCTCCATGTTGTAATTTACTGTTTTTGCAAAATAGGAACTGGAGTTTGAGAGTGGAGAGATATCCCAGAGGCTCTTTGATTGAAGATAAATTCATTAACTTCATATGTTCATGAAGTCTAGCACTCTGACAAAGGGGAAGAGCATGCAATAGACACCTTCAGCATCTTGAATCAGGTCATATTATTTAGGGGGTCCACACCTCACTAATATGGTGTCAAATTGTTCTCTAGTGCCACATAAAGGAAGTGGAGCAAACCACAAGGGGGTCTACACAAATACTGAAGGTCAAGAGCCCACCCTTGTAAACCAATTAGTATACAAATAACTTCCTCTGAAGTCAATGGGTATATGTCACATGAAAAAATGTTTGGGTCTGTGGACAATGAATCATTTATTTCAATTTTAACTAGATTTTAAAAGTAACATTGTCAAATTAATTTATTTTAAATCCTGTCCAATCCAGCAAATCTTACTCATGTAATCAATGAAGTCATGGGGCTATTTGCTTGAGTAAAGAATACTTATGTGAGAAAGAATTGGCAGGGAAAGGTTGTTTTTCCATGCATTTCTAAAGAGGCTTAAGATATTAAAACATACTTATTTTTTAAGTTTAATATTGTTTTTACATTTCCATTAAGGTTGGAAAATAAAAACTGATTTGTCATTTTCACTTTATTTTTCATGCTGTAGCACAGTGGTAAAAATGCTGCAGCCAAAATCTTATTTTCACTGACAAAGAAAAATACAAAACCTAAAAACATAAATGATTATTTTACATGCAAAATTGAACATAGACTTATATGTAGCTAATATCTTAAAACATAAATGTAATAAAACCAGTTATTAAATGTATAATTTAAAAATGACAAAGACTTACCATTAACCGCTTTTTCATAATTTTTCCCCAGGTTTACTAAATTCCTTAGCCCAGGATTGAACTGTTCCATAACATTCTGATAATAATAAAAAAAAAGAAGTCATATTATAACAAAGAAAACTCAGCGCAGGCAACAACAACTATAGGTTGAACCTCTCTTGTGTGGGACACTCTGGTCTGGCAGGACCACAGATGTTACTAGACCAGAATGCCTTGGCTGCAGAGGTTGAGAGTACAGACAGTCCTCGAGTTACGCGGATCCGACTTATGTCGGATCCGCAGATACAAACGGGGATTTTCTCGCCCCGGAGGACTGGAGCGAGAAAAGCTGCTCCCCGTCTCCCTGGTCTGAGCTGATCTGGAAACGCCGTGGGTCCGGCCCCGGGTCCTGCTCTGCTTTGCTCAGCATCTCTCTGGTCTGCAGACCAGGGAGGCGCTGAGCAAAGCCGTGCAGGACCTGGCCGGACCTG